CCATAACGCGTTTACCATAATCTAAAATCCCTCACGCACCCGAATTCACCGCCCGAGGGTCGCGTGCGAGTCGCGTTTCGTCGGCTATCGCGAGCTCTTACGATATCGAATGAACCGAATGAAACGAGCAAGAGGAATACAACGAAGAGATGGAGCGGAACAATTCAGTGCGATAATCTAAGAAAAACGAATTTGAATGTATACTACAAAAAAGAATTTCATGTAAAATTATACTGATTAGTAGATAATTTTACTTTTAAAAAGATAATCAAAATCCACTTTGATTCAATATAGAAATTCTCTTATTTAATTAAATTTATTCTTATCGGATCATATCAAATTCATATCATATAAAGTAAAGCTGCAACTTACAAATAAAAATAAAATAAAATCAAATTAGGCTTTTTTATAATAATTAAACAATTTACAAAAGTAAATTTACAATTGAATAAGTTAAATTTATAGAAATGTTTACGTAATAATTCGCGAATTGTGTACAATTTTTCGTAGCCCTTGTGATTATATTACAATTTTATGTTTTCACTATAAATTGTGTAATTTTTACACATTATTATTATTTATATAATATTATATATTATTATTGTTATATACCATTATTATTTAAATATTTTACATACTTTTTTTTACAACATAGAACAAACTGTTTTCTTTTAGTACCTTATTTACGTTCAATGATCATTTTCAGATTTTGATGTATATTTCAGGGAGAGAAAAGGAAAAAATCCGTTAGAATTTTAGTTTAAACGTTCTACAAACACGTAAAAAAAGGCGAGAAACGAAGGTCGATCTCTTCGAATCGGTTTACTGTCGGCTGAGCCGCTCGAAAGACTGGCTCAACAGCTCATAAAAGGGCGCGAGCGAGAAATATATGTCGACATTGAAAAGTTTGTCGAACAAGCCCGGCGACATGTTGCCAGGATAGCGCTATAACTTAACGCCGCCGTCGATATATGGGAAAGGACGTACCGGCAGCGGTAGCGGGCGTCCCTTCTCCTTCTCCTTCCCCTTATCCTTATCCTATGACACCCGCTTCATCGAGCACGCTTCCGCTTCCTTTTGCCCTCCCGCCGTTTCTTTGTACAGCGCGCCAACGAAACTTTGGATCGCCTTTGGGTATGTGCGAACAGAAACGGCGAAAATATGGCATCGCGATTTACGGCTCCGCCTAAACGCAAGGCCCTCGAAAGAGCCGATTTTCGCGAGCACACTTGTGACTGTTTTTTTTATTTAATGTCGATTTTGTCCTAAAGCCTACGACATACGATGCATTTTTTTCCTACTGAATTGCTTGCGTTTTAAATCATTAGAATTGCATAACACAGAACAGAATTTCTAATAATTTTATAGTGTATATATTATATTTTATTAAAAATTTAGAAGATTTCCAAAATTTATTGAATCTTGGTGTGTGTGTGTGTGTGTGTGGATTTAAAAAATTGTTGGTTGAAAATCAGTTTGTTTTTTACCCAAAATCCGTCATTTTAGATTTTGATGTTATGCACTATCTATATTAATTTCTATGCATTATCAATTAAACGTTAAATGTGGTCCTATTATAAATGCAAGGAAATTGTATTGTTTTATTTTCGTTGTTAATTCGTATTTTGTTTTCTGATATGCAAAAGACGGACGTTAAAGTTTCTATTCATTCATTACTACTATCTCAGATTGTGACATCAGAAACGAAAAAAATAACGTATAATAAAAATTCTTGTAAAATCTATTAAAATAAAAATATTTTTTAATTAAATAATACTTACAATCGATGAAACCAACTTCTAAAATATAACTCTCCCTTTGTCCTGTTAATTAATATTAATTATTAATTAATTAATTAATATATCTGGAAATTATGCATAATCAAAAATAAAATAAGCTATGTTCATAGCTATGACAACTGTCAAATTATTAATATATGATAATAAATACACAATTTAATGCTTGTTCTGGAACAAAAAGATAGTTTTCAGTGTATTTGACATGTCTATTTTATCAATTACAAATGTTATTTTATAGAAACATATTTCTATTTGAATATATTTTACAAAAATTTTTGTTGTATATGCTTTTAACTTCACAATCTAAGTAGTGGTGAGTAAATAGGAACCTAAAATATATGTATATATATATATATATGCATATATATGTATATATTCTTTTTTTAACACTTAAATTCTAAAATAAAAGAGGAAAATTCCTAAATCTATTCTTTGTTCTCTGACAGATCTACACATAAAACTTTTAAACGCAATTTTCGAAAAGCAATGGAGATAAAAATACATAATACAGAATAATCTGGTTCTTTCAGGTGGTTGAGGTGTCATCGTTCGCAAGAAATGCTAGCCACCATAAAAATATATGTACGTCACGTCAGGCAAATGGCGCCTATTGCAGCCGTCTCGTCACGCGAATCCGTGTGTAACACACGCGTCAAACAATTAAAAAAATGTTTCCCTCTCACGGCGCTTTTTCAACCCGTTTAGATTATCCGCGCTCGCGCGAGCTAGACAAACGAATGCCGCATAGTTCTTTACTGCTGTGGGATGAGCCGCCGCACGTTCAACGTTGAAAACGAGTATACCCGGTATACGTGCAGCCCTGGCGGTGGCTGTAGGCTGGGGTCGGTGCAATTAGGGGTATTAATTAGCGGGTACTTCATACCGCCCCCCTTTCCGCTTCACCCCTCCCTTCTCACCGCCTTTCCGCTCTCCCCGATTCTCATCCCCGAACCAGCCAGCCTCCCTCGTCCTCTCCTCCATTTATCCTTCTCATTCCCGTCGACGAGCAATATCCCTCTTTCTCCCATGCCTCTAAAGTGCACCACCGCGCCACCGGTGGGCCAATACGAACAAGAGGCATACATAGCTAATTACACGGTTTTATGTCATCAGACGTGGGGTTGGTATAGAAACACCACGAGAAACTTGTGACGTCAGCGTAGAGACGCGAGAGCGGGGGTTGTGCTCTGCGTCGCACGGCGGGATCGAAGATTTAGTTATTATCCTTTTTACCGCTTTCGTCCGCACGAGTACCAAAAGCGCGGGGGTAATTAGTCGCGGAAATATCCGTGCGACGACATAACTACGGTGTGCGCGTCGATACGCCGCGCATCAGGAATACATTTCGCAGTGATGAGAAATTATCTTGGATTTATAAATTGATGTAAAAATCAAAACAAGTAAAGACTCGTAAAAAAGAAATTATAATATTGTATTAAAAATAAGGCTAATAAAAGCCTAACACGAACGACAGTTACATTACGTAAAATAAATCAATGTGTAAAAATAAATTAAATATTCTGGCTTAAATTTGAGCCTTTTTAGTACAAAACAGAAATAGTATAAACAAAAATATATTATTTCAATCAATTTCGTTTCGCTGACAGTAAAAAAAAATAGTAGGAACATATAAAGTACCTTGACCCGATCTAAAAAAAGAAAAGATTTTTTTTATTTCAATTTACTTTATTACTTATTATTTTGTTGTTAATAACGATTCATATATTTGCTTAATATTGTTGTATTTTTCTTAATGTCTGACGCTTCGATCGAAGAAAAATTTGTTACAATATGTATATTTTTATGAAAATTATAAGCAATTAAAGCTGAGTTGGGTTTTCCAACGGTATATATTTTTGTAATTTAGACTCACACTATTAAATTCGTAATGTCAAATTATATATTTTTCTACTGAAACAATGGAGTAAAACAATTCAACTTAAGAAATGTATTAAATTTAACTCAAATTTAACTGTAGTTTACTGTTTACTAAGTATACATACGTTAATATGGGCGTTGTTCACTTTGAAACTTAAGCAATTTAGCTACAGAAATGGGTTGATTAAATGTGGTTGTTTTTTTAATTACATGTTTTGTATTAAAATAATACTATTTTAACATACATGGAAGTTAAAAATAACAAAATGTTATTTAACTTAAAGAATTAAAGTTTTATAAGGATAAAGTTGTCAACATGTGGTAATAGCTGAGAAATTATTTCGTTAACCATACCTTATTACGGACAATTGGAAAAGGTCGGCGATGAGTTCGAAGATATCCTACTCGCTTTATTTACGCGGCGATATCCGTTACAAACCGCAAAGCCGCTATCACGGGGCGGTTAGCGTCGGCGGCAGGGGGTTAGATATTCATGTATTTAAATTTATTTATTGGCAGGATTTTTGCTCTCGAGGGCGACGGTGAGCGGAAAGCTGGACCGAGCCCTCACCCTTTTCGAGTTTCCCCCCCTCTTCTTCCGTCGTCCCCGCCGCTCTCTTGGACCGTATAGTTGGCTGTTAAACCTTCGATGCTGTACAACCCCTTCTGGGTAATTTTCCCGCTTAAAGAGATCTCGGCCAATTACACGGGCTGTCCGATGAACGTTGAATTTTAATCGAAATGAAAGAAAGTAGAAACCCTCCTTGCCGGCTCTTTACGCCCCGACCCCCTTCAACCAAGTGGAGGATGCCGTGAGCACCTAACAGGGTAGCGTAGAAAACGACACGTGCACATACACAATACACGCACGCGACGTTGTGACGGCGCGATTTCGATCGTCGACGACGTTCAACGTTCGCGGCACGTCCTGGGGTGGGAGACACGAAAGAAATTCTTCCGCTTCGCAATTAAGTAGTTCAAGATTCGATGCGTCATTCTGTAATCGGTGTGAATCACGGGAAATTGGTCTGAACATTTCATTCGGAATTATTAGAGCACTGTATACCGAATACACTCACGTGATGACTCTTAAATTACGAACACTAAATTAAGATATATCGTTCATTTGCTATAACAACGATACAACTTAATAAATAAAGTTTTCCAGAAAATAAGTTTGAATATGTTGAATCATTAGTTTTAAAATGCAATTTTGATGTAATAACTGATTATAGAGGAATAAAATATGTTCTTTTGAAATATAGAAAGAACGATTTTGCTAAAATATCTAAAAATTTAGCTAGAAATAAATCTAAAAATAATTTTGTTGAACTATCAAAATAATTATGTAGGATACTCAAACATAATAAGCAATGTTTCAAAAGATTTTGACATTCTTACAACCAGTTCGAGCATTCTACGTAATTATTATTTTAAATCTAATAAAATTATTTCCTCAAACCTGTAGTTAAATTTTTAAATACAACTAGTAAAATCATTGTGCGTATATCCTTTCTTTTTTATGTTTCCGCTCTTTTTTTGAAAGCAACTAAACAATGACAATTAGCAATATTCCGTTATTGTTTCTTACTGTGTCTTATCTTAACATAACAGGATCAATGCAACGGCAATACATAATAAAATCATTTTTTTTAATATAAACAGCAGAAGTGTTATAAATAAAAGGAAAACGCACGATGAAGTATAAAGATTAATGCAATAAATTTCATAAAACTTTTACATATTATTAAGTATCACGCACGCCACGGTATGGGAACAGGGGTGAGTTTTAAGAAACACTTGGAGAACGGATTTCTCTCCATCCCGGCACGGGTGCTGCCATGTCGCGGAGGCGTAATAAACTAGCTAGCCTCCCTCTTACCACCCTCTCGCAACCCCTCTAATCAATTTCCTAAAGTATCCACATACGATCACGATATCATTCTCAAGATTGGATACATTTCTCATTTATCCGATACTTGAAAGTATCAGAATCAGTAAATAAAATATAATTACCAGGATTATCGATTGCATGGAATAGATGATCTTCTGAATGGCATGTGTTTCCGACACGTTCATCCCCTTTCGCGTTCATAGAATTCAAACGTGAAGCAATATTTAATATCCCCTTTTTTCTACCATTTGCACCTCCCTGAATGGAAATGGTAGAAACACATGTGACTCAAATACTAACATATTAATAAAGTTCCATTCGCACGCGCGCGCGCGCGCGCGTACACGTGTACTTCTGCGATTCGCGTGATTGTGCCTTTTGTCGACGACTTTGTGCCGAAGAAAGCTAATAAGTATCGAGAAACACGAGTCGAAGTAACTTTTAAGAACTCCACCGAGAAACCGGGGGTGGCTCCCTCCGAGTTCCCTGCGGCCCGCAAGGGTGACGAGGGGTAGAAAAGGGAACCGCGCAGCGGGAGGGTTGCCGTACTTTATGAACAGGCTTCACATAAATTGTCGCGGCTCTTTAAGAAATTGGAAAAAGGCGCGAGTATCTTACGTGGAACAGCTTGCGCCGAGAGAGCGGACTGAGAACTTTTTCAACTACTGTTGGACACTAACTAGAAAGGGATTGGCGAGACGAATGAGCGAGCGGACGAACGCCGTGCGTGGTGCGTGCGTGCGTGCGTGCGTGGGTGCTTGCGTAAGATTAAACGGAGAGAAATGGATACTCGGAAGAAGCAATTGAAGAGCTTGTTGCACCAAACCATTTCCAATTTATATTTCACAAATGGAAATATAACAATCGTTATATGCATAGAAAACTTTTTACAAGAATCTCTATTTTTTTAAATGTGGAAATTTGTTGCTTACTAATTTGTTTTTTATATAAGTGTAAATGAATAATAAGCAGAAAATCTTTCAACGTGCATTACAAGTATTTGGAAAAAAATTTGTTGCTTAAATATATGTAATGGATCATTGTCCAAAAATTTGTTGATTTCGATCTAAATTTTAAATTTATTGCTTTTAAAAGAAACTTACTACAATAAATTTTTTACATTGCACAATTTTCTAGCACTAAATGAGCAACAAAATATTAGAATTGGTTCTGTTAACACACACTTTGTTCCGTTAAATTTCAAGATGTCCTCTGAAAAGTACAAATAGTTGAAAAAATAATTCTAAGAAAAGGTACAAATAGTAAAGGTATTTAAAAAAACTATACATATGCAGAATATATCCAATTATGCATCATAACTGTATATATTGGCTGGGATAATAATTTCGCAATAAATTCTTTACAGTTCTAAGATGCTTATTAGCATTATTATTAACAATCAATTTAATTTATTATATTGGATCAGTGCAAAAGTTCGTCCCGATTTATTATTCAAAGTTCAAACAGCTGCAATTTTGTTAAAAATAAACGAAATTTAAATTAATAAAAAGGGTTCTAAAAGCCTGAAATCTCTACTTTCGAATGGTTAATATATTTTTTGAGTTTATGTGAGTTTTGTAATTTTTACATATAGAAAACTACGAGCTGAAAAAAATAAAAAATTTTCTTTTCACTTTGTAGATCTGTAGCGTACCCAAAAAAAATTTGAAAAAATTTTCGACTCTCTTTCGTAAAAGCTTGAAGTTTTCCCTACAAAATCTTTTTTTTTTTAATGTTCCTACAATTTTTTGTTAATGAATTGTTGCAAATTAAATAAAATGAATATTTTGACTTTGATTGTTCATAACTCTATCAAAACCATCACAATTTAAAAAAATAGATTCTTAAATTCTGTCATCAGATAGAGTAAGGCTTAGATTTGATATTATTTTTAACAAAAATAGTAGCTGTTTAAAATTTGAATAATAAATCGGGCATGAACTTTTGCACTGATCCAATATTATTATTTCAGCTTCAGTTTATTATTTACATTTATTATTTGCGTTCCCCAAGTCCGATAATAATCAGCACGCAGTTTATATAACTGGAAGTTTAAATACTAAAAGTTTAGTTTATATAACTGGAAAGATGAATTTAAAATTTACATATAAATATTATTAGGCACCAAAATTTAATCTCAACCGTACTGGCTCATTATATATTCATTATATATTTGATTTATATGAACTGTGATTGTGAATAGTATATATACATTAAACTTTTAAAGAAATCTTTTATAATGTCAGAAACATTTTATGTAATTATTTTATAAAATAAACATGAAATAGTGTACACATACATCATGGAAATAAATTTTGGTATCTTTATAGCATTTATACAGTTTCCAAGTTTAATCATCTTGCGTGGTAACCTTATTTTTAATCTAAGAAGATCGAATGTAGAGAACTTTTGATTAATATCCCCTTTATGTATACAAGCCGTAGACGAAGAACTCCTCGTTGGAGTGACAACGAGATCAGGGCGAGAAGGGTAATTCGGAGGAAGAAGGATGTTGTAATACCTGTGGGACACATTTCCCGGGTAGGTAATCTTCGTTCGAAGGCGAGATATTACATTTGAATAAATGTCGCCGCCGATAACTGGTGCCGATCGCAAATACGATCGCGGAATATCTAGCCGGGCCTGTCGCGCGGCATGACGCCCCGTGGGAAATATTTGCTAATATCGATCATATCGTCATTAATGGCTTGTCGCGCGGCAGCTCCCTGCGTCACCCCGACTCGCGACACCAATAACCCTGACTGTTACCTGCCGTCTTTGTTCAGCGTGGCGCCCCGCGAGTTCGCGATAGTTTGCATTAATCGAATTATCTCGCAGACGAGCTGTTCTCCTCGTCTTTATTCGCAATCACGACAATGCACACATAGACACAAATTATATACAACTACATACAAAATTGAATCCAGTTAAATATGAAGTTCTTTTTTGTAATTCAATATGTATATGTTTTACTGCACTGCCAAAGTTTTCATTAAGAAAAGTTACAAGATTTGCAGAAGAGAGAAGTTTAAAATTTAGAAATTTTCGTTCAATATATACTCCGCAAGAACGGTTTTACAGAAGTATCTAAAAATTTTACTACATATCGAAGATAATTTTTTTTTAAATATTGCTTTGCTGAAATATCTAAAAATTTAACTACATACACGGATCGGAAAAAAATTTTGTTAAATAATTATGTAAGACATTCAAACATAATGCGTTATGGTATAAAAAGTTTTACCCTTTTAATAACCAGTTTGAATATCCTACTTAATTATTTTAATGGTCTAATAAAATTATTTTCGGATCTGAATCTAGCTAGATTTTTAAATATTTTAGCAAAACTATTCTTTTCGTGCAAGAAATTTAAATTAAATAGATATGTGCTTAATTGGAAATTATATATATATATAATATCGTATTTTATAATACAGTATGTCTATAAAGTCTGTTCCCACCCCCTACATTTCGGGAATGGTTTAAAATTATGAAAAACCGCGAAATACGTGTTTGATAATTTTAAAGGGCTATTCGCAAATCTCGCAATTAACGCAACCCTCTTTGAAATAATAAAATACGTATTTCGCGGTTTTCCACAATTTCAAACCGTTTGTTTTTCCGAAATGTGGAGAGAGGACATATTTTATAGACACTCTGTATACATACATATATAAAAATCGGAAATATTTTTGCACTGATTAATCATGTAACGCACAACGCAGTATTTATTGAATACATTTGATTTGTGTGAACCATGTATTGTATATGAATAAATAATATTTTTTTATAATTAACATCGTTGCATCTTACTAATTAATATGCACTTTTCGCCTTCCCTGCAAGATAAATTAATGCGAAGTCGGAGTGTTCGGGTAAGGTGCAACAACAACCGTCTATAAAAATAATGTCTCTCGTTCTGAGCGAGAGGGCAGAAGCGAGGAAGGGGGAGTAAATCGGAATTTACCCCAAACGCGGGCGCACGCGGTCGCGACCGTATCTCGTCGGACTCACCCCCTGTGGCCACTCGACGCGTCCGCCGGTGTTTACCGCAATTATTAAATGTAAACTCATATTTCGTAATTGCCAAATATTGGCGGTCCGATCGTTCGGCCGCGACTCGATGCGCCTCACGCGGGGCTGGTTTGCAAGAGGCGTCGGCGAGGGGGTGGGAAACGGCGGAGGGGGATCGGGGGAGAACCAGGGACGGGAGAGAGGGGCACTGTTGCTCGCATCGTTTCATCCCTTCTCGAATAACAATCCTTCCTCCCCCTCGCCGCGACCCTCGAAATGAATTAAGCCTCGGCGAATCGATAAATGAACGTTGCAGGGGTACGCGCGACACGCACCGAAAAATCTACATCAGACGTAAACGGATTGTTTGATCCATCCGATATATGACGCTTCTAATAAATCGCCGCGTTATTGCATATACGTTGTACAATGGAGAGAAATCCAGAATATCATGAGGTGATATATTATAACAATCTCGCGTGACTACA